CACTAATACATAAATCCACACTGTATGGCTGTTACAGTCTATAATGTCCACTGTTGAGTTGGGGTGTTCCACAAGACCACTAGTACTTTTATCCTTGCAGTCTTTTACATCCTAACTTTATCCATCCCAGACCATTCCAACTTATGGACTATCATGAGTAAAGCATAAATAAATTGGGACTGGATTACTTTCAAAAATATGGTTATGTGGTCACCCATTTCACTTTCTTCAGTGTTGCACTCCTCCTCCACCCCCCACCCCCCTATTATTCTAGTTGGGTATGGGAGTCCTTACCACTCACCTGCTCCTAGCTTTGAGGGTGGTGAACCATGGAGGCATTCTCCTAAGTGCTCGATCCCATTCAGATGAGGCTAAGGTATTGGTGTAGATGGTGTGAACTCTCCTTCTACTGTGGACCAGATGTACAATTTCCAATGCTGCCTGGTTTTACTTGGAGATGATCCACCAAAATCCACTTTACCCCTTTGGCTGGGACCCCTCCTCCTACTGCTGTCTGAATGACTGATGTTGGAATAGAGCTGAACTAGCCAACATACATCCTCATACATGGCTGATAGAAAGCCCTTGTCCTACCACAGACTGGATGATAAATTCCTAATGCCACTTGGTTTTGGATTTAAGTGACCCACCACATTGCATTCTTCCTTTTTACCATTGCTTAGATGTTGGTACCTGGGTGGCCTGATTTTGGTAGTGTACAGGATTTGCATACATGTGCCCTGCTTGGGTGGTTTGAACAGAAGTTGTTTTTCCCTTCTGCTTCCTAAGCTTGTGGTGAAGATGGTTGGGACCGTCCTACCCCGGAACAGAAGACAAATACCCGATGCCACCTAGTTTTAGAATGGAGTTGATCCACTGATTATGCTTGCTTGCATCCTGTTGCTTGTGGATGTGCTCCTTTTCTGCCTTTTTAGCAACATGTATTTTCACGATGGGTGAAAAGTATATCTCTTTCAAATGTGGTGTGGTCTACAGAGAGATATCACACTTCATAGGCTCTCTTCATATGCTTTCCGAATGGTACTCGTAACTCTTACACCAGTTTCTTCACCAGGTCAGTGTGAGATTCTAGCTAGTATGTGAGAAGAGGTAAGGTATCGTATCGGATGTTATAAATTTCCTGAACTGAAAATGTATTTCCGATAGATACTTACCTCCTTTCACACTTCCCACCCAACTTCCGGTGCTTCTTTTTTGCCTAATCTTGAAGTGAAGATGGAATTCCACAATGTAGAGGGAGCCAGCTGTGTCAGGAGGATGTTTGTCACTCCTATTAGTGGAGGGTTGTCACATGCTTGTTTGTATGCTACAGCATAACTGTACCACATGTGGGGTAGGTCGGAGTATCAAGGATGGTGGTGAGCAAAATTTGTGTGCATATAGAGAGCAGCACTGAACAAGAAAAGCTATTGTGTGAGATGAGGTAAATATCTGTCGGAAATATGTTTTCAGTTCAGGAAAATTATAACTTTCATACCTGAGTTATTAAAGTTCATATTTTTGTAAAATATCTTTTCACAGGATGGACAATAAGTAAACTAAAGAAATACAAATCTGCTTAAATGCTCAGTGGAACAGAAGTATGTGTTGAAAAATGTCATTAACAAAAAAATGTATTTTTTGTAAATTGAAAAGTTTGTACCTGATCATTCTTTACAACCTTCAGTGTTATCTTAATGAGGTGAATTATTTTCTATGTTTGATATATACTTGTGATTATGGAGCTATTAATAGTGAATGCTAACTTAAGCCTTAATTTGAAGGGTGAGGATCAACATATTATCAATCTTTAGTATGAAACATCAGTACCTAACCTAAGCTTTGATGTTAAATGTAAAGATCAGCATATTAAACTAACTTTTAGTTTGAAGTGTTAATACCTTTATGAAGTAAAAGATCAGCATATTATCAACCTTTAGTATGAAGCAGTTGTACTTAGTCTTACCTTTAATGTGAAGTAAAAGATCAGCATATTATCAACCTTTAGTATGAAGCAGTTGTACTTAGTCTTACCTTTAATGTGAAGTAAAAGATCAGCATATTATCAACCTTTAGTATGAAGCAGTTGTACTTAGTCTTACCTTTAATGTGAAGTAAAAGATCAGCATATTATCAACCTTTAGTATGAAGCAGTTGTACTTAGTCTTACCTTTAATGTGAAGTAAGAGATCAGCATATTATCAACCTTTAGTATGAAGCAGTTGTACTTAGTCTTACCTTTGATGTCAAGTAAAAGATCAGCATATTATCAACCTTTAGTATGAAGCAGTTGTACTTAGTCTTACCTCTAATGTCAAGTAAATAATCAGCATATTATCAACCTTTAGTATGAAGCAGGTGTACTTTAACCACACCAAGATGGGTCTTCCTATAATCATGGATCAAAGGCCATGTCATCATGTTTGTAGACTTACAATTAAAATTTGATTGAACTACTATTTTATGAATGTACATCAATAAGTTTGGTATCAAATTGTAGATTATAATTCAGATTTTAGTATTATACATTAGTTAATTTCTTAATTTAAAAGTAAATATAAAAAAGTTTCTAAGTATTGATTTCTGTGTGTCACATAGGTACGTTGAATGCAACATTGGTTCAAGTTATGTTTATGATGTCCAAATACAAAATCTTTAGTTTCTTCCAAATTAGAACCTCCTATCTTATCTATTTGCTGAGATATTGCTACATTTATTGAATCAAACACTGTGGCCCTGCCTACCTCTTTCCATTTTTGGAAATACTTGCTTATGCACACCTACTTCTGTCTATGATGTGTGATTAACCAATCAAAAGCTTGGAATGTCCCCCAGGTGGTTTTCTGAGTCTGTGAAGTATTTACGAGGGAAACTTTTTTTTTCCATGGTAGATTCCAAGTGGTAAGAAAAAACATTATTGAGCTTGAAAAATCATATTTTTTTAAGACCCAAATACAGCTTAATTACAAAGCTTGATAAATTATAGTGGAATTACGTGGTATTGATATAGTAATTTATAATTTTTTATTTCAAAATGCATATGTAAAAACAAAACAAGTTTTTTTTTTTTCAGAACTTATTTGTAAATGGTAATATTGTATATACACATATATAATGTATTATAACTGAAATGTGACTGTATTTTACTGTAAAGGCCAGTATTATATTATTGGATATTATAACGTGAGTGCACGTGCACCTTGTCATTCAACTTCTGTAATGCTAGTCAGACACTGCTTAAAGGTCAGTAAAATGGAAATAATAAATTTTATATATATGTGTAATATTATATTTAAGCTGTTTAGGCTAAACATCTGCAGTTTTGTGTTATAATTTGAAGTAATTCTAAAAAGAAAAAAGCACAACTTGTATCTCTTTCTTTTTTTTATGTTGGCTATGAAGTCAATTGAATTGACCAAACCCATACAGAGATACAATAGTGAAAATAACAAAATTAATTATCTGGAGGCTATAAACATTTCACATGTGAAATTCAAAAATTTTCTGATGCATTAAAGTATCTTTAATCTCAAAATCAAAATTGCTTTGCATGTTGGATAGTCAACATTCAAAAATAAAAATCTGATATTTTATATACAGAAGCCTTGTAATGTTTACTGTTAATCTGCAAAATTTCATGAAGGTATGCTCACAGTATTAAAAGTTACAGCATGAAACTATAACAAGCACAAGATGGTTACAGGGTCAGTCCATGGAATTGAGCCTCTAGTGAGAGAGTTAAGGAGAAATAAAAGATCAGCGTTGCTTAGCCTAACCTTGCCTTAAATTTGAACATGCTGTTACCCAGAATTTCAATATAGGGTACCAAAGTTAAGTGTTGAGAGGCCAGTAGCCCCCAGGTCATGGTTTAGAATTATAGCCCTTGTCTGTATTCTCATCTGGCCTGAAAAGCTTTGGTATTGGTAAAAGGTCATGTAACCTCTGGATATGACCTAAATAGTATGGTTGACATATTATTATACAATCTGTGTCTTAACTCAGAACTCCCTATTAATGATTTATAATAGTTTTCTAAATATAAGGTTCTGACTTTTTAACAAAAATATCAGTGATAGTTTCTAATATTACATTGCCTAAACTAACAGTGAAATTGTTTTCAAGTCTGATTTTGCTTGTCTTGCTGCTCCTCACTGGTGTGGGGTGGCCAGGCATTTTACACAAAAGACTATAGTATAGATGATGCTTCTTGATATGTTCTCATAACCTTGAACAAGAACTGAAATATTTGAATATAGAGTTGTGTGAAAATTACATCTAGTAAGTAGTATGACCATACCTTTCATCATGTTTTAAATGAACAACACCTGCCAGTTCACTATTGCTTGTTGTTGCTGTTCTGTGCCTTTTCTTCTAGATGAGTCTTCATCAAATGGTAGGAAGTCATTATAAAAATAATAGTACAAGATGATGAGTCATAAAAGCAACTTTATGATATTAATACTTGAAAAGAAAAGCACTGTAAATATCAACAGAAAGACAACATTTAACCTTTAATATATATATATATAAAGTGTAAAGATCAGTATATGTCTTTACAGCATGGACTTGATTTGTAAAATTTCACAAAACCTGATGATGAAACTTAGTTGAATGGATAGCAACTGCCTGTTTTAGAAACACAAGTGTAGAGGGTGATGTTTTGAAAGTCTTCCACCTTTTATCTTCCAGAAACGTCCTCTACACTTGTGTGCCTATAACAGATAATTGCCATCCATTCAACTAAGTTTCATCATGAATATCCTGCTTAAGAATCTATCAAAGAATTTTAAAAAAATCTATTGCACATACATTAAGAAAATTAACAGTAGTTTTCACCTCTTTTTTTTTTCCCCTGTACAGTGTATAGCTCTGTGGTTTCTTTTTACTGGTGCATTCACCGTTTTGAATATGTTTACGAAATAGAAAAGAAAATTTTCATAATATTTTAAATTAATCAAATTAATAGTTGTTTCTGTAGCAAATAGCATATTTTCTTACAGTGGAACTAGTAAGTTTAAGAGAGTCTGAAGAAAAGCTGAAGCAGCAACAGATAGAAGCCACGAGGAGAGAGAACATTCTGGTAATGAGGTTGACTACCAAAGAACAAGAGATGCAGGAGTATGCAGTAAGTATTTATGATGTATTTAACTATCATATTTAAGTCATCCAATAGGTGTCCTTTTATTTTCATTATTATTATTATTATTATTGAAGTGAACAATTTGACGAGTCACGAGTCCAAATATTTATCTCTATCTGATAAGTTTGTATTTTTATGTGGTTTCTCAGGGAAAATCTCATTTGTTAAAAATTCAAATAATTATAGTTATTTGATTTCAAACAGGTTACTATAGCAATTTTTTTCTGACTTTTGTTCTTATGATTTGTATGAAGGATATTTAAGATAAATTATTTTCACTAATGATTAAGTGATGTTGCAATAAAATCCTTACATTTCTATGATCTAAGATAAGGTATTTAATAGTACTCTAAATTAAGAAACATTTATTCATTATTTAAAATGGTGATTCTTCCCTCCACTTCTCTTTTTTAATGTATGTGTGTAACGAATCAGCAATAATACTTTATCTGAGTGATGTTAGCTGTACTCTGGAAGTTGGGGATGCGGCTTTGTCACATATATTTCTTAGGGAAGAAATTTTCTTTTTACTTGTCAGATTGTTTTTGAAATTATTTGTACTTATTTTCAGTATTTTTATTAATCTGGTTATAAACCATCTATATAGGGATCAAAGGGATGTTTATCAGAACTTACAAGAACATTGTTTAAAGCAATGCATGTAAAATTTCTTGTTTATAGGTTGTTTCTTGTGAATTTTCTATGATAGTAAGTTTAACTTTTTTTTTTTTCAGTATAGTTTTCTGAAAATGTTTTACCTTGCTATTGTGTAAATACATTTAGACTATATCTCTCCCTTCTAATCTACTTCAGAACCAAATCCAAGAGCTAAAGCAAGCCCAGATCCCTAGTATGGCCCAGCTGAGAACAGCTTTACTTGATCCAGCAGTCAACTTCATGTTTGAGAAAATGCGAAAAGAAGTGGACAGCACTAAAGCTCGACTGGAGGAGTGTCAGAATGAACTGAGTGCTTGGAAATTCACCCCTGACAGGTGTGGTGTTCAGCGGCCTCTGGAGGCAGTATCTGTTCTCAAACTTTTACTTCCAACATAAGACCTTTTCAGACTCATGTACTCTTTTTAACTACTGAAATCTCTCAGGTACAGTAGAGTTGTTGTCAAGACTTCCTCAAGAGTCATCACTAAGGAACAAAAGGTTGAGGGGTAGTCACATGACTGACGCCCCATCTTCAGTTTCCTGTTTGTGTCTTAAGAACATGGTGCATAAGGAAATGTAAATGAGTAGCCAGCCCCTCTGAAGCAAAGAAATGACTGAACAGACACTAACTGTGTTTTAGACTTTTTATTTTCTTGCTCAGATTTAAAGGGGTTTTGGAACTGCAGACTTTTCTCTTTGTTGGTGAGAGCAAAACTTTCAGAAGTTGCTGTGGACATTTGTTTCCGCTGCCAGACTTTTAAAATGTGTCTTAATTAAGGTATTAAGCTCCACCAACATTTTGCATCAGTGGGATAAATGAAAAATATGGATTTTCTGGCTACAAAGTTAAGCTACAATTTAAGCTTTTTACTTAATCTGTGTAGCTCTCTAATGTTTCTCCAGAAATCAAGCAGTTTTAGTAGAATAATTTAAGAAAACATTTTATTATAATATATTAATACAAAATCAGGATTATCATTTTAGACTAAGCCAGTGATTGTTTCTTAGGCATACCACATCCTCTAAAAACATAAAATATTGTTTTTTCTTACCATTAGAGTACAATAACACAAATGCTGCAGTTCATTTGTGTACTAATGGTGGGAGAGGGATTCTAGTTCACTTCACACTCGGTAACTTATTGTCAGTTCTTTCGTTTTCCTTAAATTTTTTGAGCTTTCATTTTATACATTGGAACAAACATGTGACCTAAGGTTTGCACAAAAAATGTATTAAAACATAAACATACTATATAATAAGATTATAAACTATTATTCTTTATGAGAAATACCTAAGTCTGTTATTAAGAATAACATTTGGATGTTCATTATTTTAATACTAGTTGAATACCAAACTAAATTTAAGTAGATGTACAAGAATTAATAAAGATCCTAATTGATAATATTTTAGGAATAGATATCTGTTAAATGTAACTGCACCTAATCTTGGGAAGAAGTTATTATTAAAACACCTGTATATTGAATTGAATTCAAAAAATATATGGGAAAAGCGTGTTACAAAAAAACTAATGATGTAGTATTTACTTTTTAGGGTGACAAAAATGAAAGTTGCAAAATTAGGCTTAGAAACCTTAAGTAGCAGGACCCTTGTCCATTAGTACACAAACTTTTTTCAGAATGTAATTAGATAACCCAATATTTAGAAAGTTTATCTTTTGATTATCTTGGCAATCCTGAAGTTCATGTTGCATAATTCTTGTTAATATTTAAAAGCTTGCTAGAAATGGGCATCTTTCAGTCATATGGACTGTATTACTAGGAAGTTGGGTAGCCTATAAACCATGTTAAAGAGTGTAAACAAATAACTGGAATAGTGATAATCAGTCAAAACTAGTAGAGCCATTATAATCATCACTTTGATTGTGAGGTAAAAATAACAGTATATCCTCCTGGCTATCTTAAAAAGAGTTGTGTATTGCACAAATGGAAAACAAAGGTCACATATTCAAAACATTTGACATTAGTGGCTGAATTATATTTGAATTATACTTTTCTGTGTTAGAGTGCTTCAGTAAGTTACTGTCTATGTATAATAAGTTTATTTCCCTTTCAGAAAAAAATTGAGTGTACATTTTATGGCTGCTTGAAGTTTGACATGTTTGTGTGAGGATTAACTTTCTTTATTGGTATTAATAACAAGGTACATGAAACTAAAAGGTACTGACATCATGATTGATTTATTCAGTATATTTTTAATCATACCTACACATTATGTTTCATACCTAACATATATATATATATATATATATATATATATATATATACTAATACTAGTAAGTATAGTAAGTTTTGTTCTTACTTAACTTCTTGTTAGGTTAACTAAACTGTTAGCACCTATGGTCGTAGCAAGAAAACAAGACTA